CTGTTCATTTGCTATTTAAATTGAGTGTTCTTAAAGGCAGACAAGATGGTGCAAAATGCCTATTTTTACTGTACTTAGTACATGATTTTTAAATTGTTTCTTTAGGGAGAGTATCTAAATTATTTTACATCCATTTAGAGATTTTATTTTTTTTTGGTCCTTCGTTCTTATATTCACCCACAGTATTATTAGTGGTTAAGAAAAGTGCATGAGGACTGTGCTAAAATACAACCATGTTCTAAACACTGTTATTTTTTTTCAGTGTTATTTGTGCTAGGGATTGAACTCTGTTCTCCTGTTGAAGTGAATGCCTGCAGGTCAGATTGGTGTACTAAAAAGCTGGTAATGAGTGAAAAGTGAGAAAGTTCACCTCCATGGATTTCTTCTAACAGGACTATGTTTCAATTTATGTAAAATTGTAATTTACTGTTTTGCAGCTGTCTGTATGCACTTTTGCCCTCTGGTGTTTGAGTCAGAACTCCAGTGTTTTTGGATTACTTTCTGTGGCATTTTAGCATCAGTAGTGGTCACTGTCAATTTATTGCTATTGAAAGAATTTTGGGCTTATGTAATGGAAGATAAGAAATTTGTGTCAGTTTTACATAACCCAAATTTTAACTCTTTCTTCATGCATAGCTTAATACTGCACTGCACAGGTAGGATTATCATTGGAAATTGCTTTAAAGTTGACAACTTTCATCTTTTCATGTGAATTAGTTGTATACCCATCCTGAATAATTACCAAAGTAAGGACTGAGAGCCAGAAAATTGTACTGAGTGGGACCACAAAGTTGTGTGGGCGAGAAGTAGGCCACTGGGTGTAGCAGATTGTGGTCTGCCTGCAGTTTTCTTGAGTTTAGAGCTGGCACTTGCAGCTGCCAAGCAGTGTGGTATTGCAGGCCTGAAGAGTACCTCACTGCTCAGTGGATTTCTTGTGCCTTACTGTGCTGAGTTGTGAGCACAAAGATTTATTGTGCTTTGAGTAGGCAACAGTCAATTTGCCACAGTTAAAAGTAATATTCTATAATGCCAAATGTGAAAACCAGTGTTGGAGATCTTTCTGTCAGTCCCAACACTTGCATCAGACTGAAAAAAAATGCAGATAATGGGTCTATTCCTTTCCTCAGGGCAGACTATTTTCTGCAATGAGATATCACTCTACCAGCAGGGCACCTTATGGAAAGATTGTGTTGTTAGGTATTTTCCCTTCCTATTTTTGAGAGATGGGGTTGAAAGCAGGTCAGACAAAGGAGTATGAACTTTGATTTCTTTCCCTGTCCTTATTACAAGTAAGTCTCAGGGGAAAGTAGTGTTTAGCAGAATGACTATAATTATTAAATAAATTGTTTGCTTAATTGTTGTTTTGGGATTTTTCTGTGTCTATATGCTGTCTATTTCCTATACAGCATATATTGGCATATCATCATCAATCCCTTCCTGGAAAGTATATTCAGAAGTTGTGGCAATAGTCACTAAAGGTTTTGAATGAAAATTTTAGTTCAGGATTTAGGGCAGAGCTCCTTCAGCAGTTGTAGCCGCCTGTCTCCATACAAAATTCTGTGTTCCTCCTTTATGCAGGTATACACACAGGGCTGTACCCAAGTACTCACAGACTGACTCCAAGTGCCACCTTTACCCTCCTCACACTCTTCCAAGCCCCTTTGGGGTGTCCCAACCTCAATGCCAGCTGCAGCACCAGCTATGCATTGATGGTGGTGGATGTCTTGGGTCCTGCAGGTTGACCGCAGAGCTGTGTAGCATTGGTGCTGTGGCACCTGGCAGGACCTTGTAAGTTAAAGGTCCTTCTTTCTGTAAGAGTTGAGGTATGCTTTGACTCTCCCCAAAATCCCACCTTGTTTCTGTCTGTTCAGCTTGGCAGGGAGGGAGAAAAATCCCAGGGTTGTTTGTAGTTTGGTTGCACCAAAAGATAGTCCCCAAGGCAGAAGGTAAATACAGCGAGTAGAGCAGGGGATGTGACTGCTGGTGGGACTTATTCCCCTGGTGCTGTTTGGATTTACCCATCTGGCTCTGGCCCTGCTCACACCTGTCAGCTGAGAGGGACAGTGCCAAAGCAAGGAGTGAGCGAATGTCCTCTTGGAGCTCTGCCTGGCCAGCTGACAGCATACATCATCAGCCAAGCTTTCCCTTCTTCCACCTCCACAGCCTTGAACATGTCATTCAATATATATGGCCATGCCACTACCACAGGGAAGGAAGGTGGGTTTCAGCCCTATCAGTTCCTCTAATAGAATGGAGGGTTTCAGATTTTCTTACATGAGAGGGGAAAAAAATAAATTTTCTTCTTTTAATTTATATTTTTAATTTTTTTTTTCACTTCCACAGTGGTCTCCATTAGAATGGACATATCGTGTCCATTGAAGACCACACCATAGCAAGACACAAAGCTAGCTCATGGTGCTGGAATTTTTTAATGGAGTTTTATTGAGGAGAGAATAGGAAGAGGAAGAGCCCACCAAGTAGGATTGGTCCCAGAAAGAGGTTAGAAGCAGATGGAGGTTTGTCTGCTTTAGAATATGAGGCCTGTTCACTCAAATGTGCTTCTTTCTAGCTTCTTCTGGTAATGTCATGCTCATATTCATCATCATGCTGCCATTTTCCAAAGCTGTCATCCTGTCATCCCTATGTCAACAAACCTCCCACCAGTTTGGGTGACAGACACATTTTAGGCTCAGCTCCTGTGGGGAGGGTGTGATGACCCTTCCTTCAAAACAAGCCAGTCCCTGTCTGCCACTGTGACATGGCAGTGCTCCTGTCCATCTGCCAGGGGGTGTTTGGGAACACTGCATTAGTAAGCTCAGGCACATCACTACTGCTTCTTTTTAAGCCAGCCTACATCTCTGATATCTTTAATATTGACAGGGGAGTAAGTAATGTTTTCCCACGTGCAAGTGGAGATTACTACCACAAAGTGTCACAAAACCTAAATTGATTCATTAAGCAGCAATTTTAGGCAAAACCTGAACATCTAGAACTTATAAAGATGCATTTTTCCCCTTTTCTATCAGTGTATAACTACTGTTTATAAAATATTTTTTGGATCTTAGATTGCTCTAGATGCTTTTATTACTGTGACGCCTTTAACTTGCCAATAAATTTAATAAATGCATTTGCAGTACTTCAGTAACCCTCCTTTAACAGCCTTGTCTTCAAGTTGTCACAATATAAACCTTCTGGATGAATGACTTATCACATGCAACACAGCCTAGTTGGTTCCATGGCATGCTACCATAATTTTCATTTGTTAAAGAGTCTTAGGACTGCTAGAAAGGTATTTTGTGTGAAATGGATGATGTTTATGACTTCTGTCAAATAAACTTAATACTCAAGACTCCAAGCATAAATTACTAAGCAAAATCAGAAGCAGAGGAGGAAAAGATCTTATACATAGTTGAGAATAAGCAAAATGAGGTTTTCAGCAAATAAGACTTTTGCCAACTTAGAATGTTTTACAGCCTAATGCATGACATCGTTTAACCAGCAGCTATATTAAGAAAAAGACAACCTGAAAGAAGTACAGGAATTCACCCAGTCACCTTAGCTGAACTCACAGTGGCTTGGTGACCTCTCTTGCTCTTTGTTTACTTTCAATCCAGAATCCATCTGCCTTTCTTCAGTTGCTTCTGCTAAGGTTTTTATGCAGTGATTATGTTGTGGAGAATATTTTGGTGCTGTCCCATCAGTATTTGGAGCTTTGGATCAAATGGACCTTCCTACTCAATTTTTTCATGTTAACATTCCTGTGGTCTTGCTGTGGTCATGTTGCATTAGAAAGTGTGTGTGTGTCCAGTGCTAAATCCATGGCTCCAGAATGTCTTTACATGACAACATTCTCCTCGTGCTGGATCCACACTACAGTATCATGATGCCCATGTGACCTGAAATGTGTTAGGATCTCCTTACAGACAGGTATGCAATGATGTGTTCTGTCCAGAGATTTTTTTTTTCCTTAAGAATCACAACAAGCTAAAATGGTGCTGGGGAAAACTGTTGAGCCATATGTGTTTTTAAAAAGAGAAGCAATGCTGAACCAGAGTACAGCATACAGTGGTAAGGAAACCAAATACAGTATGATCTGTAATACTGCCTGTACTCTGGAGCTGATCAACTTCTTTGGAACTATAAAGGGACTTGAGAACATATTAATTAATTAATTATATTTTTAAACTTATATCTGTTCCGTTTGCAGCTGCAAACTTGCTGTGTGCTTCCTCATATTGTGCAAAATAATGTGGCTGAAACATCACTCAGCACAGATAAATGCATGCCAGTATATGTAATCAATGTGCATATAGCCACACATTTGGGGTACTCTCATTTTCAGGATGATACAGTCTACTGGCATGGCTGTGTGCTTTCTACAGTAATTTAAGCAGGTAAAAATCAGATAGTGTATATTCTATTGCACATGCTGATACCCTTTTATTTTCCCACTTCTTATAGACAGTGATAATGAGAATTGATATTTTTACATGAAAAATTGCATTATCCAAAAATACCCTTAATGCTGACACGCAGAACTGGTGTAGCAGAAGAAACATATCTGGTCCAAATCAGCAATTGCTCTGTAATTACAATGACAGTAGAAAAATGAAGCAACCTTACCTTAGCTCAGGAGAGTCTTTTTGCTCTATCCCAGGCAGTTTCCTCTCCTTATTCAACTGAAAAGGGAAAATCCACTTAAATAAAGAAAGATAAGGATTGGAAGAGTGAGGGATTTAAGGAGTTCTCATCTGAACTGCTGATCCACTTGTTTTTAGCAAATTGCAAAAAGCCTCGATCCAGCAGTAGCTCAGAGCCACTTTCCTATCCTCGTGTGTTCTGTGGGCTGAGAATCTGCAAGAATAAACCTGAGACGGTGCTGCAAGAGAGAGACAGCGGGGGGGACCTTGGCACGGAGTTGGACCAAACTCTAAATATAGCCCAACCCACTTTCTGTGCAATTCTCTTCATACTCTGAAGGCAGATGACCTTGTCAGAAAACTGACCTCCCGGTATGTCCCCCTCTTAGTAGAGAGAGGATCTAAGGGAACAGGACTGCAGCATAAAGGGACAGAAAAGGAATCCACCATCTGCTTGCAGTAAATGAATTTAGGTATGAGCTCTTATTTTCCTGGTGTTTAGAACGGATTGATTATTAATGTGCTTTATTTGATCATTTAAACAAATGAGCTGTGTGTCAGTTCGAAAAGGCCTGTGCAGATGAGAGATTGCATTGTAATTGTTAGTATTAAATAGAGAGCACTGACAGAGATGACAAGCCCGATGCCTTTCCTTCTCTCAAAAACCTTAATGCATCAGAGTGTGCAGTATTGCTCGAAATGCTTCTCACTATAAAAAATTACCCCTCCTTTAACTTGCTCTTATAATAAGTAAGACTTTTTTGAAAAGTGAGTTAAATCTGCAAATGTATATTCTAGTACTGTATAAATTTGAGATGCTAGGATAGCTTAAAGGGGGATGAGAACCTGCAATATCAGAGATTAAACGGCAGAGAAATGTGAAGTATATGCAGAGGAGGAGGAAGCAAAGAATAAGAGGCATAGAAACATAACCCTTGTGCCTTAGATAAGGAGCTGGTTTTAAACAGATGTTTTATAATCTGGGGAATTTGCCACTCTAAACTCTGTGTGGCAACATGTCAGGGTATTTTGTTCTTAGCCTGAAGGAGAGTTTTACTTGATATGAGTCAACCTGATACTCTGTCAAATGGAGAGCTCATACTTCTATGTCATATGAAGGCTTCTAAATAAAAAAAGCTGCAGAAATCAGAGCAGCTCAAAATGTCAACTCTATGTTGTGTGTAAAGATGGGTAGGAGATTTGGGATAAATGACTGTTTGCACTGTTGTTCTTCAGTGGGATGTATTATTTGGTGGTGACATCTGTCTGAGTGTATGCTACATTATATGCATGCGTGAAGTTTTCCATGTTCAGAGAAACCTGAGAAAAATCAGGACAGTGATAACTGCATGCTACAAATGTGTGCATCTGCAAAATATCCATGAGCCAAAAAGGTGGGAACAGTATCAGTAGTCAGTAAAGCAGCAATGTGTCTCTGTGAGCAATAATTTGTGCTGTTAAGTTTTTGTGAAGTGTGCTATATATCCTTTTTAATTGCAGCCTACTATTTTTGGCAAGTTCCACTGTGTAATTTTATCATGATCTATAGACTTGAAGTGCACAGGATCAGCCAGATTCTCTGTGTTACCCTCACTGCAAGAACTGCAGCTGTGAGCCACAGCTGCTTCCCTGTACGGAGAACAGTAAAAAAAGCACAAATCACTGGCAGTATTAAGGGAACTATCACATCTGGGACCATGCTACATTACTGGCTAAAACTTGCTCATAGTCAGACCTAAGCTAGACCCCACCCACAAAGTAGTTTTATGGATTTATCCAAGTTCATCTTTACTCCCAGTTTACCTATTTCTTCCCCATTAACACAAATAAATGTTTGTCTGAAGTTAATATCATAACAAATGAAGAATGCTGTTTGATTTTGCAGAGGGGACCTGAAAAAGGATCAAGTCCACCTCCAGATATGTGTATATTAAATAGCATACTAACACTGTGTAATTCTGAATGTACAGGTCACCAACATCACTAAACATGGATAGCTCTGTGCTCTCTGTGCTCCAGGGTGGTACCCTCATGAGAGCCACACCAACCCTACCATGTCCAGCTCCACAGTGCCACTGCCAGCTCTACTCCTCTCCAGGAGTAGCCAGGTGCCAGCGTATTGAATTCATCATGGATCCCTTCATTCAGACCAAGAAGGTGATGAGGATAAAGGAGGGAATATATGCTCCTCCTCAACATGAGGAGTATACTTTTCACCCTCTTTTTCGCCAGCTTTTTGCCCTCTGCAGTAAACAGCAGCTTCCATACAGGATAGATGGGGAGTTCTTAGAAAAAGAAGGAATCACAGTGCTTGGTGGGTCTTAAAGCACAGGTGTAGCCATACTTTGTCAGGAACTGGGCCATCCACTTCTCCCATAGGAATATTGTGGAGAAGGAGTGGTTTCTTGCTCATACAAATAATACACTGGTTGGCTTTGGGCAGGGAGTTAATCTTTGGGGAGGCTTTTATAGAGTGGTGCTGGTCAATTGTACAGGGCTCTAAATGTTGCGTGACCAACCCCTGTGATGGAAACTTCCTGGAGGAAGGGGAAAAGGCTTTAAAAGTGGCCATATGTGTTCATCAAGATGGATGGAAAAGTGTATTGTTTGACATCTGTACACGCTCAAGTTCTCTTTAGGATGACTTTAATTTTTCTGTATGCACCGTGAGGAGGAAAATGCAGTAGAGTCTGGCCCTAGTTTGTGCCTAGCTTTAACTTGTGTTTTCCTTATAATTCTGAATGGTTTTTCTGCTTATTTGTTGACAGTTTTAACTGCCCAGCTTTCTTTGGTACCATTTCCTCTGGAATGAGTTGGATCTGACTTTTCCAGAGCCCAGGCAGTTTCCTCTCCCAGATGCCTGTGTAGAGTTTGGGATGTATTTCAAGCCAGGCTCTTGGGATTCTCGCTCAACACAGTTAAACATTCTGTAACTAGTATGTGTGAGCTGATTTTTCTTTTGATTAACCCCAAATTCCTAGACATTTGTAGTTGTTTAAATATCCCATGGAGCATTTACAGGGTGAGACTGTGAACCATAATGGCTCGGACAGTTTCCAGTGTGGTCAGCTGTATCCTGGCTTGCCCTGTTCCTCTGCTTTTCAGAGTTGGATAGCATTGTCTTATGAGTATAAACTGTTGCACAGGATTGCTGGCACCCTTTTGAATGGTTTCTAAACTGACTGTATGGTGTGCAATGCGTGGCATCTATCAGAAAGAGAAGCTCTTCTTACAAGGTTAACATTTATAATGCTCATCCAGTAGATTGGAATGTAGCCAAAACTCTGTGCTACTTAAACAAAACAGTCTCCCACTTCCCCATCTCTCTAGAAATATGCTTTTGAATTAAACTTGGAGTTATAAGGAGATTATAGGAAGTTTCAGCATGAAGGATAGTTTTTCAGAGAACAAAAGAAAAAGATCAGAGTGAAGTGATTTGTGGATGTTATCTCAGCCTTTACTTATGATACCATTGGTGAAGGGTACAAACAACAGAACTGATTTGTACCCTGTGCTGAAGTTTCTGGTTGCTCTATTTTGGCAAGCTCATAATGAAGAAATTAAATTGGATGGAAAACGTAAGAGGACCTGTCATATTCCTATCATGTCAAATCTTCATGTTTGTCCTTTGCTTATCATGGGATTTAAAACTCCAGTGGATAAATGAATACTGAGTTCTCTCTGCTTACCTTGCTGATGCTGTTTTCCATTGTCTGAGGCATAAGTAGAATATCATATTCAACCTTTACCTAGCAGGTGAAAAAGTTACTCTTATTAGAAGGGGAGTGGCCTACTTTTTACCTCTGATCAGTCATGTTCTGTGGCTTCTCTGTCATCTTTCTGTCTTACAGGCAAAATATAACAATGAAAAATTATGAGTAGGGTGAGATTGTAGCTATATTACAATCTGGGCCTAGCCTTGATCATATAAAATTAATTTTCCCGTGCTCACATGTATATAACAGAGAATTTCTTCTGTCTTATTCTCTGATATGCTCTTTATTTTGTCTCTTAATTCCCTCCCAGTCAGCAAATCATGTCAAAAATTAGTTTGGAAGTACCTGTTTTAAATATTAATGGAAAGTGTTTAAAAAAGGGGAGATGTAGTTGTTAGAAGTGTATTGTGGGAAGACCTTTGCATTGCAGATAGTTATGTCTGTGATTTAAAAAAAAAAAAATATAAAATTATCATATCAGAGTGTAGTGAAAATTAACTTGATATTATTCCATTAAGACCTATTCTTTTTTGCTTGACTGGACAGTGATTTTAATTTAAATTATCCATCAGTTTAAAGAAGAGGAACCTAAACTGAATATCCTGTCATAGGATTTATCAGGTAAAAGTTGTTGTTTGTGCTAGATACACCTTTTGAATGGCCCCAGGAAAGGGTTTGCATTTTTAGAAGAATGTTGCATTTGACTTGGTAGTACAAGCTTTTGCCAGTCCTTGGAACTATTACAGGAATTCCTAGAGTAGCTTGGCACAGGCCTGGCTGGAGTTGAAGAAGTTGATGCTATCTGAATGTTACCTATGGGGACAAAGTGGAAGCTCATTTGATTCTTTGGTAAGACTGTGTCTGTGCTGAGTCCAAAATTGTCTGCACCTCAGCTGTGTCTCACAAGCACACTTGGAAATACCTTTTTTCAGATACCTTGGGAGGTAAAGTCTGCAGTTTGAGGCATCCTCACAGACATCAAAACACACTGTTCTGCTGGAATGTGCTTGTTTTGAGAAAGGATTCCTTAGTTTGTAGCGATTGGAAGGCAAAACTGCCCCAGACCATGGGGACTGCGGATGGTTTGGGATGATGGAGAACTGGTACCATGTGTAATTCTTCTAGAGGTTGTATCAGCCCGAGCAGAGAGGCAGCTCTGTCCTCTGTTCTTTAGTTCTAAATGGTCAAAAGACCCAAATATTTTAAGGCCTTATGAATGAAGGCACTTAATTTGATTCATGTGCCCATTTTGCAGAAGCTAAACTACAAAAATTGCCTAAGTTTTCCATTAAGCAGTAATGTTATATCTTTTGATACAATTAAATATTATTTTCTCATTACTTGTGAGTATATTTTCTTGTACTGATTTCTAAGACTAGATCTTGTCTTACTCTACTGTTTTAAATTATTTAACTAATCCTTATTCAAGGAGATAAGGAGAGGTTTTGTTGTTTGGGGACTTTTTTCTGTAATGTGTTATCTGGATTTCTCAGTTGTGCCACTCATTGCACTTGATGCATGCCTGTGATGGAGAGAATTACTTATTTTTTTGAGTTGCCAGGGGACCCTTTCTAATTTAGCCGGAGCAATCTGAGAAAATAAAATGGTGCTGACACTGTTGTAGCTATTTTTAATGCAATGGTTATGTGGTGATCTTCCCAAGGACAGATTGCTTTTGTGTCTAACATTTTTATCTCATTTACAAGAAATTTCTAAAATATTGCCATGATAAATAGCCAGCAACTCATCTGAAGAAC